TAACTAAATATGTAGCTACCTTCACAGCTACTGCTGCCACCTATTGGGCACATTTACCAGAGCTGGTGTTGGAGCAGGACCCTACACTCCAGGCCCACCTGACTTTCCTGCTGCCACACCTAGCACTATATGCATTTCACTTTTACATGTTAGTTTTCAAAATGTCCTGTTTTTTTTGTTTAAAAAAAAAAATCTGTATTAAGAATGTGCTTTTATTGTTTCTTTTGTACTTTTTTATGACACCTTTGATGATGCAACTTCTACGGATGGATTCAGGCAGTGACACACTGAACGCAAGACACTAATCGACACACAGAACAAAGGTCAACAAGACATTTTTGAACATCCAGTGGATTTATTACACTCTTATGGTTTTTCTTTATAACCAAAATAAGGTCAAATGAGGGGCCATAACATAAAACTGTCAAAGAAACATAGACTGTTTAATATTATGCTCTCCCTTTATGGTGTCGCTTGATGAGATCAATTATCATCAAAGAAAGGTGACAAATCCAAAGTTTCATTTGGACCTGCCTTTATGGGAACATGGCAACAGAGAGACGAAACAACTTCCTGTTTGCAAGAAGGAAAGAAAAAAATGTCCAGCCTGTGCTGAGCTGAAACACACAAACATTACAAAGGTTAACAGGATAAACAGACAAATGGTGCCGTCTAGTGTTTAAAGTCACCTTTTTATCTGGAGTATTAACTAAGATATCAGCATGTCAGAGAGTTTGCCTAAAGTTACACCTGAGCTGTGTGATATAGGAGTTTTGGTCCATTTGGTACACTCACTAGATGTCAGGTGATCATCACGCATTGTGTCAGTTATCATAGAACTGTGGGCAGCGTGTTACTTTAGTACCACATCAGGAGTTACTCTTTGGTTGCATCTTTTTTGTGTTTATAGGTGTGTTTTGCTGCAGGTTTAAAGAATATAAGCGGACACAGAATATGCATTTACTGTGTTCTGGAACGCTGTCGTCTAAATTTAAATGTTACCGATGACAGTTGTTCATGTTTTAGGGTGTGCACCAAGAGTCGCACTATCAGTTCAGTATTTGTATGTTCAAACACTGGACAGGAAGATCTCAAATCACTTGGCAGTTGAGGAATTTCACAACAAGACAATAATCTCAAACGAACACCAACACCCACACAAGAGGAACCGACTGGTCGAGTATGTCGCCCGACTGGAATCAGAACGCCTTCTGGAGGTTTAAAAGTGGAATGTAGAGCAACAAGACAACAGCCGAACCTTAAAAAATGTCAAGCTTTTTTAACCTGAATACGTTTATTAAATATCAAAACACATTAAATTTACAGATGACATTGTTTTTCAAACACATTTACATATATGGTTTTGGATTTTATTTATTTTTTTAATAAAGTCATGAGATCAGAAAGTTCAGTGCCTAAATACAACACAGATAAACATTTACAGGCTTCAGGTTGAAAGTTTCATCAGTTGTCTAAAGGCTGAGCGTGAAACCCTGAGAAAAGTCATGGCACGCCGACTCGAGGGGAAACAGATTCACAGATTAACAGGTAACCAATCAATCAGCACCTTTACAGGGAGAGAATTTAAATACAATAAAATCCAGTGTGCAAAGTACAAAAGGGTGAGAAGTTGATTCTGATCAAGAGAACACAAGTCGACAGCTTTACACAAAAGGAAAAATAATGATTTTGTGTACTAATGCTTAACTGTGACTTGGATGAGGTTTTAGAACATTCAGTGTATTTTACCTCAGAAATTTGGCCTTAGTTTGTAATTTAATATAATTACAAACATGTTAGAAACTAGCTACAGAACGCACTGTTGAGAGGAAATACTGTGCTTTGACACTTGTGCTGGTCGAGATGATCCCAGTCTGCGGACGTGAAATGCCTCAATTTGTAAATCATTAGTGGTTTGTGACTTGAGTGCAAACAGTAAAATGAGCAGACGCAACACCAGAAAGCATCAAACCAGCTGCACTTCAGCCTTTAAAAAAGATGAGGACGGCTGTTCTACCCCAGTTTGAGCGATGGTTAAAATGTCATTTAAATGTTTCATAAAAGTGGTGTTAGTCATCAAAAAGACAGTCTCTGTACAAAACCTTTCTGTTTGAGGTCTGTATTGTCATTTATGTGTCACTTCCACTGATGAGCTGATTTGGGGTGAAGTCCCAGCACCAGTCATGAGGACCAATGTTCCTCCAGACAATCAAGAATCTCTCTGGACTCCTTGGCAGCCTGAGTCTCTGCCGGTCAGAAATTCTTCACTGGGAGCTTTTCCTCTGGTTCTGAGCCCGGCTCTGAGTGCAGCCCGCCTTCATACAGCGGTGATGAGAGGGTCCGGGTTTCTACAAAAGCAGCGGTGTGTGTTCTCCTGCCGGCTCCGCCCGCCTGGTCAGCTGCCGCACTCGGGTCATGAAGCGGTTGGGCAGCGAGGGGAAGTGGTGGCTCGGGTCCAGGACGTTGGTCTTGCGGCGCTCGCGCTCCTGCAGCCACATGAGGTACGGGCTGGGCGGGAAGAACGGCCGGGAACGCTCGCGGTAGAGCTGCAGGACGATGCCGCACACGCCGAGCACCACCCACACCGTGATCATGACGTAGTCTGGTTGAAGGAAGACAAAAGACTGTGTTCAGACAACATCTGGAACTAGAGTTTGTTAGCAGTACTTTCAAATGTCAGTGTCTTTGGTTCAGCTGCAGCTCTGAACTTACCGATGGTTTGGAACGGCACGTCGGTGAACGCTGCGCTGAAGTTGTTGTTGAGCAAGCGTTTGAGGATGTTCAGGGTGATGTAGGAGAGGCTGGTGTAAATGTAGGCGTTGACGGCCAGAACCACAGCATAAGCACCGACAACGCCGCATGTGATGATGTTTCCCTGAAACGCAGGAAACACGACTGTGACTGGCTGGTTTACTGTTTGTCTCATTTCAAACAATCATGGGCAGCATTGTGTATTTGTTTTCATGTAAATGTGTTTGCATTTTTTACAATGAATCACTAAACCAAACCATTAATAAGAAGTGAGCACTGCTATAAAACAAATCATCAGGTGAGCTTTTGTCTTTTTTAACCCTATGAGCTGTTGGCTATTCTCAGGGTAATTTCACTGCTTTTACTTTTGAGCTTTTATCTTGGTTTTTATTTGGGGTTGTCACATATTCTCTATGCTTTTTATTTTTTTTGTTAGAACAGTCAAAGGCTATTCACATCTTCCATCATTTGATATGATAACACTTACTTCATATTTTGTATATTAGCCTTTATGTTAGTGTTTTTTCTAACATGTATCTCACCATTAATTTCTGACAGTAATGATAAGTGTTCACATTTTGTGGGGGAGTTTGTCTAGAATCTGGCCATATCGGAATCATGACGATGGGATACTGTATGACGTAGAAATTAGGAAAAAATATGTGCTTAGTGCCCAATCAAAATAACTGTCCAGCTGTTGTTCTACATCATGAAGCAAGCAAAGCATCTCTGTTGTGGCTTCAAAGGGATCTAAACTGCTGAAAGTTTTCAGAAGATTATCAGGCATTTTCAGCTGGTTCAAGGTGCTTTGGGCTTCGGCAGGCCCATTTAGAAATGTCAAAACAGCTTCAAACAGTTTTTCAGGCATGATAACTATTTGTTGGTAAGGGCGGTGTTATCCTGAAGTCTTGTGGTCACTTTGAGATTGCCAGTGAAATAAAAGAACTCACAGTAGGCAACTAAAATCGCCAATTTTTCATTTCTGTTTGTGCATCCTTTAAAAAAATGATATAACATGGTAATTACTGAGATTTTAAACTATAGACAGAGATAGTTAGCTAGCTCTTAAGCTAAGCTAACCTAATCCTCTCAAGTCCCATACATGCCATTCAGACATGAGAGCCGCATTTATTGATCTGGTTTGTAATCATGTTTTTGTCACACTAAATTAGTATTTTCCCAAAATGTTCCTCTTGTATGCTCCTTCTGGTTCACATTACTCACAGTTACTGTACGTGTTGTATCGCTAAACTGTGACAACACCATCCTTCAAACTGTTGACCGTGCTGTTCATCAGTGTCGTTCATGATGCGACCACCAGATGACACCAAACTAAACAATCGTAAACTTCTGTACATGCTGCAGGGGGCCGAACTGTTGGTCGGTTACCTCTCTGGGCCAACGCACGAAGAAGAGCGGAACAATGATCATAAAGCAGCAGAACGTCACCCAGAAAACCAAATCTGAACGCCTGAAAATGTCCAGGTCGCCTGGAGAAAGAACACAGGACACACAAACACATAAAGGTGTAAACATAGGCAGCTTCTTGACCATAACTGAATGTTTTCTACACCACTGAGGAGTCAATCAACATAAGAGTTTTTTCTAACCTAGCGGAGTGAAGAGGACGACGGAGGCGACGAGGAAGCCGAGCATCAGCCCAACCACGACGACGCAGGCCATGACTGAGCCAAAACGCCACCAGCTCATCACCAGGACGACTCCGCCCACCACCCCCACCACGGCCGACAGGGCCAGACGGACTGCAGAGACAGACGGACACACACAACGGTCACAAGGGTTTTTATTGCTGGATGACAGGCAGCTTTTAATATAATAAATACAACAGGCACCAAAGTTAGACTTTGTGGTTTCAGCTGAATGAACAAAAACTTACTGTCATAGCCCAGGTCTGTGGTTCGTGTGATCAGGACGAAGAAGAAAAACGCTGCAAAGCTGAAACCCATACAGAACAGCTCTGCATGATGGGAGGAGAGAAAAGAAGGGAAAAGAAAAGGCAAACTTTAGACATTACAGTCACTTATTCTCAGCCTCTACAGACATGTTTTGATCTGATTTCTCTGCACAAACGTCACTAATGCTCCTGAAAATTCCGCTCTTGGAACTGGATGAAACCACATGCTCTGGATAAAAGACTTTTCCTTGAGAGGGAGGCGTACTGCATCACACCATCAGTCATTTCCTGATTTATCAGAACCACTGGCAGCAGCTGCAGACCACAGTCATGGGTTCAGTTTGGAAAAAATACATTTAATCATCACGCGCGAGGGAGACCACATGAGACGCAGGCTGCTGCTGCTGCTGCTGCTGCTGGAGACCAACAAGCTCACTTTCTGATACTCATTTCACATAAAAAATGTGAAGTGCGTGGGACTGAGGATGTGTAACACACCTCTGTGCAGTGCTGTGTCAGCTCCACACCAGAGCTCTGCATCCGTTTGAGACTTTTCAAACTTCTAAGAGGAAGTTCAAAAAAAGTTTCCAAACACAAATTCTGGCCCCAACTAATCTATTCTGTTGAGCTTGAACAGAACTGGAACTGTTTAGGAAAGATAAGAGGTTCAACAGTTTCATTTTGGAGGGAAAATGAAGAGTTTTAAATGACTCAGAAGACAGTAAGTCAGCTCACACTGCACAAATGCAGCCTCACATCACCACTAATAGTTTCAAACATGGTAAAGAAGGGACGAAATAATTAACATGAGTTCAAAACCTCCCTTGAAAGTTTCAACTGTGGCCTCTAGCACTGTAGTCTCTACTTTTAATGCTTGATTGGTTAGTCAGTATGCTCTCATTCGACCTAATTCAACAATCCTCTGCATTAGTTTCATAAGAAGAAAAGCACCACATCAACAGCACACACAATGAATCACATATTTTTACCTGGACTTGACTTCAAATTAATCAAAACCCCGTCAAAGAAGTCGTTTGAGGTCCATTGTGTTCAGACAGATGTCTTAAAAGTTGAGCGTAAACTTCAGTTTGTAGCTCACAGCTCAACAACCAGCATGGCTGATCATCTAAACACAATACAATAACTTATAACTTCCATCCATCCATTATCTATACACCACTTAATCCTCACTAGGGTTGCAGGGGGCTGGAGCGTGGAGTCTCCATGTTCTCCCCGTGCAGCGTGGGTTCTCTCCAGGTTCTCCGGCTTCCTCCCACACAGTCCAAAAACATGTTGAGGTTAATTGGTGATTCTAAATTGTCCGTAGGTGTGAATGTGAGTGTGCTTGGTTGTCTGTCTCTAAGTGTAGCCCTGTGATAGACTGGTGACCTGTCCAGGGTGTCCCCTGCCTTCACCCTGAGTCAGCTGGGATAGACTCCAGCCCCCCATGACCCTCGTGAGGATTAAGCGGTGTATAGATAATGGATGGATGTCTACAATTGAACCCAAGCTCTGACATGCTGCGGTTAAGAGAGACTCAGACGTATGTTAAATATTTGTTCATACTTTGGTTGCTGAGGTCTTGAACAGTTTGACTAACACTAAGGGATTCCTTTAGCATTAGACCAAGATAAGGAGAAGCCTTAAATACTTCAGCAAATATTTTAAGCAAGCCTGAAGGAGGAGACTGAAGGGTGTTTTGTGCAACAGATTGCTTTAACCGTAAAGAAGAATCTTGAACTGATGTGTTTTGTGCAACTGGTGCCAGATTTTTTACCCACAACTAATAGATTGGTTCAAGTGTGGGCATGAGTTCAGCCAACCAGGTTTTCTTGTGCCGCCTACATACTTAAGCTGTCTCTGTGTTCACTGACACAAATAATCAAAAACTAAACAGAGTATACAGCAACACAGAGCTGAAATCACCCACAGATTGTGTCACAAGTTTGTCTCGTGTTCATTTGATTTTACAAATCAGACAGAACCTATTGTGTAAACAGTGCTTTCAACTCACTAAGATGTCCCATGGTGGTGGTTGTTATACTACAAAATGATATAATAACACACATGGAGATAATGTAATAACAAAGTCACATGAAACAATGTTGAACTACTCACCACATTTGAAGAATCGGTGACCACAGAAGCAGACAAACAGTCCGGCCAAGCCAGCGATGGTGAAAAAGATTTTGGTCGATATTTTTCCTGCAATCAAAACAAAGCAGGTAAAAGTTGATACGACGAGAAGATACATGAAGAGATTTATGTTTGTCTTTACCATATGTGCCAAGTTTTTTTGTGTATTGCATTATGTATTGTTTATTGACTCAAAAAATTGATGAGACGCAGTTTGATTTGAAGATTATAAAAACGGAGCCCTTACAATTAATTAATTACAAGTTTATATAAAAGAGTATTCAAATGTTTTTTTTAAGTGTGCACCAGATGACAAAAACAATTCTTTAACATTCAGTCCTTTCTGAGACGCACGAGACCTCACCGAGTGTGTAACAGCCGTCCAGAGTGGAGGTGAAGCTGCAGGCGTAGGTGTGGACGGGCACGTAGGAGGCCGAGGTGTTCAGCAGCGGGTCTCTGACGATGACCGAGTAGATGACGCCCTGTCCAGGGATGGAGTTAAACACCACCCTGGTCATGTCTGTTGACAGCAGCATCATGACCTGCAGGGAGACACGCTGGGTAAAAACCTACTCACCGTCTACATGTTTTGTATTGAAGATCAGTCAAACATGAGGGTTTAACATCACGTTCACGCCGCCTACCCGTCTGCCGTTCTTCATAATGCCTTGGATGTCGGCCGCGGCCTGAATGCCCCTGAACAAGTTGCGCTCCGACAGGTCGTTCTCAGGCAGGAAGTACTGGTAGACGTCGTACTGCAGCCGCCAGCGTGTGTTGGTTGCTGTGGATTCATCGCAGGCTGGAGGAGTTCCCCCTCTGATAGAACAGGGACAGTAAAGTTTTAACACTCTGTGAAGTTGCTTTCAGCTTTGAAGTTTTTCTCCAGTGTGATCTACAATGACAGAAACACTCAGGGCCTTGCTCACGTGCACGCCAAGGTTGGAAATAGAAAACATTTTTATAACTCAGTCAAGTGACTACAGTTGTAGTTTTATGAATTTAGGGAGCAGTTACATTTTACTGTACCAATCTGCACGGCACACTTCTTTGTTTTGCACTGACAGGATCTAGTTCAACATCTTTGTTCAAACACTGAGCAATGAGAAAAGTAATTTGTCATTGAACGGTCTTGAAAGACAGTAAAGTTCACTTTAACGTGACATGAACACGTCACTCAGAAAGCAGCTATAGAAGACTACTGACAAATGCAAATTTGAAAGCAGGACACAGGAGAGCAAACACAAGCCCCAGGATTAAAGCCTTCATTTTTGTATTTTCTAGAATCTTCCTACAACACTTAAATGTTCTTATTTTGTTTTTAACATTCCTCATTTTTCTCTGTAATGAGGGACATAGACTACGTTCACACTACAAACTACCTCAGATTGTCCAGTTTCCAGAGTGAGGAAGTCGTTTTTGCAACTTTATTGCACTTGTCTGCTTTACAGTCAGAATGTGGGAAGTACATGGATCCTACAAAGATGTACTGTTATAGTTTGTTGCTCAGAGTGTTTAAACATGTTTCCAGTGTATGTGTGACAACGAGTAACTTGTTATCAGAGTTAATACTCAAAAAAAACTCTTCTAACTCATGTAGGTAACTCTATGTGGACGGCAGCAAATAGTTTTGAGCTAAAAGCTCATTAAAAATTAAATGTTTATAACAAATTCCATAAGCAATATATGCATTTACACTAATAATCAATCAGACAGGCAACCATTATCTATACACCGCTTAATCCTCACTAGGGTCATGGGGGGCTGGAGTCTATCCCAGCTGACTCAGGGTGAAGGCAGGGGACACCCTGGACAGGTCACCAGTCTATCACAGGGCTACACTTAGAGACAGACAACCAAGCACACTCACATTCACACCTACGGACAATTTAGAATCACCAATTAACCTCAACATGTTTTTGGACTGTGTGGGAGGAAGCCGGAGAACCCGGAGAGAACCCACACTGCACGGGGAGAACATGCAAACTTCACGCAGAAAGATCCCGGGTGTCCTCACTGGGACGCGAACCGGCGACCTTCTTGCTGCGAGGCAACAATGCTGACCACCGAGTCATCTTGCAGCCCAACACTACATCAGTGCATAAAAATTCTAAGACGACACTGAGTATATAATGCACTCCTGAGCTAAATGAATGTATGTATCAATGTAGTTTAAATGTGCTGCTGATGAACACTATAATCCCACAACGCACTGCAGAAAGGAAACGAGAGAGCATTGAAAATATAGTGAATAAATATGAAATCTTTGGAAAAACATAAACACAAACCCTGCAGCTGGACCACCACGGCTTTACTGGTGCTCACTGATCTATTGCTATCCCTGCCATCACATCCTTGTTTAATGCTGCCCCAGAAACAAATTTCCTACACTTTTAAAACCAAGAAATAATTCTATCTTGTATTCTGACTGAGTGAAAAACTATTCAAGGACATGGTATGTACAGCACTATAGTTAGAATGAAGCACAGTTTGTGCGAACCTGAATTCATGATACACATTTATCTCAAGTATTCCTAGTTGTCTCTCTTTTTCAGAGTGACAACTGAACACTGTCAAAAACTTGTTCGACTTGGATTTCAGAGGGAGTGGTCATCAGGTGGACTTATTGCCTGAGACAGTAAGAAATGATTCCAGTCAGACATGTCTAACAAGAAAAGTTTCTAACAGACTACCTCAAGTGAACTGAACAGAAAAGACAGTAAACAGAGTTGGTAGTATTTCCAACCCAAACCACTGTCAGTAATGAACTGATAACTACATCTCTATTATACGCACGCTGTTTGGAATTTCCACAAAGTCCACAAAAAAGTAAGACACTGTCTGACAACTGGCAACGCACCCAGAGAAAATGAAGTGGCATTCTATGGCAGCGGGCTGTTTCTTCACGTGGCTCTAATGAAACAACCGCTTGAGATAATTCATGTTGCTGGACCAAAACAGCAATTCTGATGAATTACTGAAAGCTACAAGCAAACATGCTTTGACCTTTTCTTCCACAAAACTTTCAAAAAAACGACACTCGATGACGGTGCAGCAGCAGATTGAGCAGGAAATGAAAGTAAGTAAATGAGGTCGTTTCAGGGCAGCTTTGTCACACAGATGTGATGTCTGTTGCAGCAGAGGGGAGGCCGAGTGTGTGTGTGTGGGACAGAGAAAGCATGATTTCATTTGTGAGCCGATAAACAGTGAGGCGGTTTGAATACAGCTCCCTGCCGATGTGATCTATGCACACAGTTGTTGGTGCCTTCAGCTGAACAGGCTGAACAGGAAATTGAGCAAACAATGCCAGTCAGTGTGGTGCGTTACCTCTCGTATCCTAAATTTGCAGGCGCAAAACGGATCGTGGTCTCGTAGAGGTTGTAGTGGATGTAGATGTTTGGGTCGATGTCCAGGTTGAACTCAGTGTTGCAGGCTCCAGGGACCGGGTCTAAAACACAACAAATTCCTTATCAGATGCTGTGTGGGGCATATTAAGAAGACAGAAGAGCTCCTTCGAGGCTCGGTGGCACGCTGCTATGGCAGGATGACTCATTAAAAGCGTCCTCTAAGAATCAGTGCCAGCGTTCACTCATGGTCTGCATGAGTTTCCCCAAATCAGAATCACAGTTAGATGACAGTGTTTTAGCCTGCGGTGGGAGTTACTCTACTTTGGTTTTGCAGAAACAGTTCATGAACAGCACATACAACTTCCTTGTTTCAGACTCCTTATGCAACACACAAGCTGAGTGAAACAAGACAGAAGAGAAGCACTGACATGTTCTGCAATGGCCTCACATTAACATCCTGAGCAGAGTTTTTGAGTTACCGGTGCTGGAGTAGGGCAGGATGACCCCGGTGCCGGACACAGTGTCAGCGTCAGGCGAGGACAGGAACAAGGTGAGGGTCGTCTGGCTCGGCTCGAGAGCTGACAGGAGCCCTGAGTCCACGGCCGTCAGAGAGAGACCCACGCCGGGCATCTGAAGAATGCAGAAATATACAAGTAAGCACATGTAGAATAATGCACACAAGCACAAGAAAGTATGATCAGTTAAAACAGAGTAGACAGCACAGCTAGAGGCTGTGTGAGGTCACTGTACACTGTGGTGGTGCTTCTTCTTAGCACCCCTACAAGAAGCTTCAGCCAGTGCAAAAATGATACGAACCAAGAATAAAAATGTATATATTTGAAATCAGTTTTACATTTTCTACTCTGTTAAGATCATTTGATAAAATAGTAGATGCAAGATGCAAGAGACTTCTGTCACATAAGATAACACAGACTCATTACCTTTACTGTATGCACACCGATCATGCTTATTGTCATGTACAGTTGCCCCCAGAAGGCCCATTCTGAGCCAGGAAAAACCCTGAAAATGCTAACCGTAGCATGGCAACGTGTTCACAATGCTACACAGCATGAATGTTGCTATAAGATGATAGCATGCCGATATATTAACTGTATAAAGTTTGGCATGTCCACCATCTGAATGTCCTGTATGTGCATGCTAATATCTGGCAATTAACTCCAAAAACACAGCACTGGGGTCGGCCAGTTCAGTCCAGTCCTATCCAATTATTCTGCATTTTTCAGACAATTGGTATGCTATTATTATAATTATTTATGTTTTTACTAATTCCTGCTAAAACTAATACATGTAAAATTACACTATTTTGGCTATTTGTCTCTGTCCAGGGTTTTTCCTGCGTAGAGGGATTTCTGGCATCACCCCAAAGAGGTTTAGCCAGTCCATAAGGAAAACTCTAACCCCGAAGAAGTTAGAATTTAAGTGGTTAACTTTGCAACGTGGGGTTTCTTTTACTCAAACATAATATATATTTTTGTTTGTCAGATGTTTGGAAAAGAAGAAACTGAACCGATTTCTATCCAATAAGGTAGTTCAGCCTCGTTGCCTTTACTTTATGCTGACTAATCAAGCTTACTGTTGCATGTCGTCACCCAGTAAGACTTACTGTGAACCAGGAAAAAGCCTGTTTATCTGCAGCCACTCTGTGGTCTGGAGCGATGTTCCACTAACAGCACTATGAGATTAGTTACACATCATAACCCATGTCACTGAAGGATACATGTTTAAAAGTCCCCTTCGTTCTTCATTTTTTCTACAAATGTATATCAGTTCCAAATGGGTCCACATTGGTCTCCTTGACTACCAACGATCAGTATTGGCCCTCTACTCTCCTGATACAGTTAATACAGCGGAGGCTTTGTTTCTCAGGCATTTGTTCATAACACAATGTACTGGATGAGTTGAAATGTTGACCTGATGAGGGTGCTTGAGAAGGAAAGCCGAGCTCATCAAAGATCTGAAAACTGTTCACCCTCCACGGATCAAAAGTGTCTAACTAGTGTGACAGCAGCGACCTACTGAATAACTGTCGTGACATTTAACTCAGAAGCAGGAATGTCTGAAGAACGTTAGGGAGAAAGTTCACGGTGGCTCTAGAGGAAAAGCTGCAGAAGTTACGAGACATTTTCTCTGAGGTGCATGAATTTCCATGGAAAGAATGTGATACATGAACTGAGGATGAGTCGTTCTCTGGCAGCTAACCTATAAAAATGTTTTCCACAACATACATGGTTCCTTGTTTCATGGATTACAGTATGATTACATTGCTGAGGATTAAGATTCAATCCGAAAACAGTGAAACGTTTAAACAGCTCAGCTTAAGTTAAGCTCCACAAAAATGTTGGTGTTTGTCTCTAAATAACAGAAAGAACAGAGTTAATGAGCAACGCATGCCCTAAAACTGAAATCATTCCTGTCATTGATAAAGCCAGCAAGTATTAAAAAGAAGTTTGGTTCAACTAATTCCCCAAAATGGCTGTAACCAAGGCCTCAGTCCTCTGTACCATTAAGCTCCATTGTTATTCAAAAACTATTATGGAAATTAAGAATGCTTTATTTTGAATGTCCTGCCACTGCAAATACTCACTACTGACCAAATACATACAGCTGGAAACAGTCTAACAACATGTAGTATTTACTTTTTTTGAGTAACATTTGCTAAAAACTGCAGTGCCAAGCTGGTTACTAAACCTTTTTTCAAAATTCAAGTTAGATATTTGTGGCTTTTTTCCTTTATATATATATATATTTTTTTTTTTTTTAAAGGCTATGCTTCATTAGGAACCAACAGCTTTGGAGTTGAGAACCTTTAATGAGGTGAGTGGGCTGGAAACGAATTATCGGTTTCTGTGTTTTTTGTGAAGTTTTTGGACAATAAGAAGCATCACTATCAGGCCTGTTATGATGCTACATGTTTGCTTCACAATTATCGAGGCCAAAAAATATCACAATAACGTTATTAACACATTACTTATGGAGAATTTGACAAAAAAGATATCAGTCAAAAACTGTTTTACCTTTTTGTTATTGTGCGTTTTGTGTGTTTTAGACAAAAATACATGTGTAGTGATGTGGAGAAAGAGTCTGTAACCATAACTGTATCGTACGCTGGACTGCAAGTTTATCACGACCCAAATCCCTATTCATAACTGTAAGATGGTATTCAATTGATCTGTAAAATTTAATTCAAAGCCAAATTTCATTAACCTTCCCAAGTACAATCGGATGTGTGTTTTCTCAACAACAACAACAAAAAAAGCACATTTTAACAGGAAAACCCTGTTGAAAATCTCCAATATCAGAAGTTTCACTGTTCTTTTTTTTGAGTTCTTGCTCCCTGAAGGCAGAGCCATAGATATACAGAGTAAAGCAAACATGGCTTCAGGTCAATCCAACAGAGCCACATTCGCACCAAATGTTCCAAGGCCATTACATCGTCTCCTTTTATAACCAAGTGTAACTGCCGTGGAGCTTTCAGCGCTAACATAAAACAGGCAGTTCCCCAGGCTGTGGTTGTAAAGCCAAACTTCATTAACCTTCTAAATTTCAACCGAATGTGTGTTTTCTCAACAGCTGGAAGAGTCAATAACTGATGGGTGTCACACAGTCGACCACATCCTCAACTGCTGAGGTCAGGATTCACAGGAATCAGCTGACAAACAACAATTCAAGGTGTGTCAATAAAACTTACTATACTTCATTATTTATTCTAACAGACAGCAGACGGAGCGAGACCCTTCACTTCTCTAGATGCATGTTTGCAGCGAGCAAATGCTGAATGCTGTTGTTTGACAGGCCTGGCAGTGTGGAAGCACTGTGCCCACATAGCATCACTCTGAGGGCGAGCGCTCATATAATAACTGCATTGTGTAACACAAGTCTTGTTCAGATAGACGCTGCTGGAGAGGGCAGAGAGACTCCATTACTGTGGTTTCCATTCAATTTATCTAACACGCCACAGAGCGAGAGCAACTTTAAAGCGTTACAATCACCAGTGACTAACTGATTTACAGCCTGACATGACTAGTTGTTAGTTGAAAATGAAAAATAGTCTGTGTTCCACTTGATCTGTGGTTCTTTAGGTATGGTTTTGTTGAAATAATAATAATAAGAAGAGAAAGACACAGACAATCGGTATGGGCCCTCGTAACTATGATGGCAGATCAAATAAACAAGGACCTTGTGGTTTACCGATATCGATGAGTCACAGTGATAAAAGTAAAGAAAAAAAGGAAATAAGCATAAGAAAGATAACGGTATAAAGGAAACTGAAGTGTGTAGAGTGTGTATTCACTTTTTATGAATCTCTACCATATCAGTTTGAAAGCACACTTCTCCTTTCTCTCTGAGTTTCCTTTGCAGCTTGTTGTTTTGGTGTTTGCTGGTGAACCTCTGCACATCAACCTTTGGTTTAAAACAACAGCCGCCTCTATTTTTAGGACCGATGTTTTCTAACGCGAGGAAAAGACTTCAATCACATGGACTTGTTTTCCTTTCTCCTGTTTTCCACTCTTTCCATCATCAATAAAGCTAAACTAAATCATGTCTAGATGCCCATGTGTGCTGCTTGGACCCAAACCGAGCCGTCTCCTGAGACTACTGGGACCGACGCCAGGAGTTTTCCCCCCCCCGATGGTCTGCCGCTCATGACCCGTGGACTGCAGATCAGCTGACTGCGACTTCTCTCAGAGGGTCAGAAGACCTCGCTCACAAAGCCCCGTTCATTATTAAGAGGTAGGACTAACTGCCTGCTGCTCATACACTCAGAAACATGCCTCAGATTTTACAGTTTACTTTGCATTTTTACTGGTTTCACGGGACCGCGCCACTAATAGAATTATTCAATCAAAGACACATACAAACAGAAGAAGCTGATTCATGTTAAACCCTTTCAACACACACACACACACACACTTTTACGAGCTCTTTTCAACACTTGTTTAGAACTGAAGCCACTTCGAGGGCAATGTCATGCACAGTGTCGTCCTTAAACCAAAAAGAAGACAGTAGCCCACTTTAAAGAAACATTTAGAGCAGATTGTGTGTCAGCATTAACTGCCATGACATCTTCTAGTTACACAGAGCATAGCGGACTAGCTAACAGCAGAACACGCCAATGAGAAGCATCGAGCTACATCAGCCACCGAACTCACTGTCAGCCTTCAGTTCACCACTGAGATTAATCAGGGTCTGGAAGAACAAATATTTACCCACAGCTCCACACAGAAATCTGGGGGAAAAACACACTTTATCTTAACGTAAGCAAATATGTCCACTGTGTAAGTGCATTTTATTTGATTAAGTGGCTTCTACAATTTAATGTCGTGTGTGCATAAAAATACATCAAAACATCAGCTCCTTCTTCACAAATTCAATTAAGAATCCACACTCAGATAATTAAGAAAACACAAAACTTACTTCTTGTGCTTCAAAAACAGGAAATGAAAAGATTACCCATGGACCTAACTTAATTTTGATATTTATTCTGTCCAGTTTATGTGTTGCTGATTTGAATCTGACAGCAAATATGCCGGGGAGGACTGTCAAATCATATAGCAACATACTCAACAGTCGCTTCATGATGTTTTTCCTCATCTTATGTCAATACATTACTTCTAAGGTGCTCCAGAAATAACAACAAACGGACTTGTCTGCTAATTATCTGTCACAGAGGCTACCGTGGAAGTCAAAGCTGAAAGCTGTGGAGCGAATGTTCGTAACACACACACACGAGAATCACCACATCCAGCTTGTTATTGGTAATCACTGTCATCTTAACACTATGAAACTGCTAATGTCGCGCTATGAGGAAGATGAGCACTTTCTCACCCTTGTGTAGGAGAGCGTGGCGTTGCGGTGCTGCGTGTGGAACTGCAGAGTGATGAAAGTGACCTCCGGAGAGATCCTGGACACGACGGCCTGCACCGTCTCATTCTGCGAGACGCTCACGTTCTGAAATGTCCCCGGCAGGAAAATCACCCGGTCTGAGACAAGAAAGGACAAATAAAATTTATTCCCACAAGTCGTGTGATTGTATTGTCTACGACAGTGTCACTGTAAACCCTGAGTTATGTATTCATGTGTAGCAGCTGATTACATATCACAGAAAACTGATAACACATAAACAGATAAACACACAAATTAGTCAAGAAAACTGAACATATTCTCCAAAACCTGACATTTCAAAGTGAGTATTTTCTGCATCTTTGGTTTGAAAGGAGGCTCCATAGTACGAGAGGTCAATGACAGTGAAAGAAAGTTTAACTTGATTAAGGTATAGACGCTACGTTTGTGTTCTTGTTTCAGTCAATCTAGGTTAAAGTGGAGGAGAACAGTGACTGTGACTCACGGCAACACACGATGAAATGCATATCCTCTGACATCACACATGTCGTGGCATTTGGTGCCAAGCCAAGTAGGCAAAACCAGAACCAGGTCAGCAGCGCATCAAAGAAGGGTCTTACATAAAAAGACTGAATAAAGCCACGTTTTCTGTGTCAACAAGATAAACTACAATTCCCCGCGTACTATCAGTGCTTGTTGAGTTGATTAAAGCACAGTATAAACCTTCTTTAGCACCCCAACTGCAGAGGGTTGTTGCTTATATTGCAATATGGTAAACCTCAATATATTTCTCGTCTAAAAAAGTCTAAAACCCTTTGTGCACGTTGCTAATTTAAAATACAGTCCTCATGTTTGTGAGGAAAAAAGTGTCCCAGCTCTCTTTAGCACATATCTGCAAACCATCTGACCGGCCCAGATTAGCAACGCACATCTTGTTCTTGTCCTCCGCATATATCAATGCTGAGGTTTTTTTTAATGTTCTTATGTACTTTAATAAATCGCTGATAATTAATTACCAGTGGCTGTAATAATTTGACTCACTGCATGATAACAACCTGCAGAGAAGCAGCGACTCTTCTGCAAAACCATGACCTACACAAATGGTTACGCTGCACCAGAAATGATCCAGCAGTTACATCTGACATGCATGAGACTTAATCAATTAAGAAAAAGAGCTGCAATGACCAATAAATTAACAGTGCCATTCGAAAACATCTGCCAATAGCATACATCATATTTCATGAAGCAAATGTTTCATCAGAAATGCAGCAAATATGATTTGGTTCTCACTTGACTGTTATCACTTATGAGCCTGAACCTTCCTCATTGCTTATCTCTGACTGATTTTAATGTGTCTAGCGGTCAAGAGTTTACTTATAGCTGTTACTAATGTTAAAGTACTGCAAAGTGCACACACAAGCCTACATACTACTATATATAGTAAGGCCTGTACTGCTCAGGTCATATGTATGGTCTTATTGTCATTGTACATTTGCTGAAGTCTAAAATATGTGTTTGTTTCTCAAACAAACAGGAAGAGTGCAAAGTACTAAAGCTAAGGCTCTGTAGATCTGTTGCACAGGTTCACTGATCCAGACTGTTTACTGGTCAGATTCCAGCCCAGTGACCTGCTGCCTTGATTTATTTTTTTTTTAAAAAGGTAACAGTGGACAAACGTGAGCAATAACAGGAAATCCCCAATCACAACGAGCGCCTGAGTTTATTTTATGACAAAACAACCTCCTGAACCTTGTGCCTTTCCTTTTTTAAAAGGTACGACGCGGACAAATGTGAGCAACAAGTTGAAATCACCATTTACGACGACCACCTGAGTTTATTTTATGAGTTTATCTTATTTTACTGAAGCTGCTTACTTGTTTTGTTTGTTTGTTTTTTTAACAAGGGAACAAGCAGACAAACGTGAGCAACAAGTCGAAATCAGCATTTAAGACACGCACCTGAGTTTATCTTAGGATTAAATATTAAACCTATGTTGGCTGTGATGAGAACTATAGTTTCATAGAGATGTTGTTTCTGTACTTTCACAATTTACTTTGGCTTTGATTGAACCATTCAATACTGTCGTGCATTTATGTTAAAATCTGACACGTTCCACAAGTTGCCACACAACAGAGAAGGTTGAGAGTAACGTGTACTTGCTGTCATCTCAACTCGCTGTTGTTGGTATCAGGCTGCAGCATTTGGCAGAGTATTGATTTAGCAAACAAGATGAGTTCGATGGGGTTAGATGGATTTTAACCTTTAGCAGAGGAATCAACATCTTGATCCTATTCCTTGATTTTCCCATTTACTGCAAACAGCTCATGCAATACCTTTTGGGGTAGGAACACTGTGGATATACGAGCAATATAAATAATATAAATTGTATTACTTATAATACTTATTTATTTATATTATTTATATTTCTCACAAGTCCACAGTGTTCCTACCCCAACAGTGCAATGTATTTATTCTACCGTTTGGCTAACTGTACATACTTCCTTCTGGCTCCTTTTGTAAATACATGTATATATTCATATTTGACTTTTTATACTTTTACTTTTTATACTTCTGCACCACTGGAGTTGTCTTTTAATTTCGTTGTACCTTGTGTATGATGACAATAAAAAAGCATTCTATTCTATTCTATACCGCAGCAAGTAACACTGTACTACACTTCAATGGACACTGGCCAAATAAACTCACAAGTAGGATATCCTATCATTGTTCCTGTATGAAACACACAGAATATTAATTTTAAAAACAGTTAGCATTGCTCTGTGATGCTCCTCACAGCATTCCTAGACTCATATCAAGTTAAAACATGATGAAGACAACCCTTCT